GAAATCTGTCTGAAAATAGGCTCTGCTCTGCAGACAAGCTTAAATACCAAACTCTAGCTATCAGCAGTTTTGTTTTCAAAGAGTGTGTTTTCCTTCGGGCCATGGATCTTTGTTATAAACATGCACTACTGTGCTGCTATGTGGCTTAGTACATGGGATTTTCCAATCACTGTCTACATCTTAATGAAAATGAACCTCACTTTCTGCAAATTCATTTGCAGAAAAAAGTCCATATAGTTATATCATCTCTTTTTTCTTAAAAGGGAAATCAGTGGTTTTTTTGCTGTGCTGAAGACTGTTTTAGAGAAGCATGGCAGTGACCTAGAGATGATTTTATGTACATTAGAACTCTGGATGTGAGATGCTCTGCTCTCCAGCAGAGGGACTTCCACAGCCCAGCTTGCTTGCAACACTTTCTTCTTTTGTGACAGACATGCTCAGTGCACACGAATCCTGTGTGCGACAGGGACGTCTGAGCCCATCGACAGAATGTAATCCTTTGTTACCCTGAGGTGATGTTGTGAAGAATGATAGGATGCCAAGGAAACTGTATCACAGTGATGCCTGTGACTCCAAATCCTGCTCACTTTACGCAAGTGAACAGTTTTGTTCACTGTGGGGGTCCCCTGACAGGACTGAGCATATACCACTGCAGGGGCAAACACCTGACCATACCTAGTACAGAAGCCTCAGGCACCAACACAGAGGTTCCAGCAATATGGGTGAGCAGTTATTTATTGGGGCATCTGTGGACCATAATGTTTACTGTACTTTATAAACCCCACATGTGGTTAAATTCTACTGTTCTCTATCCACTTAGATGGCTACAAAAGACTGTTACTTGGCTAAAAAAGACTGTTTTCATTCCCATATAAAGGCCAAACACAAATGGACTTTTACTAACTCTAATGTTAGTCAGACATTTCTTATCTCTAAGGTATAACTTGTTGTACTTTCTACAGTATTTTTCCATTCCCTGTAAGCTTTCTGTGAACACCGGAGAATCTTTATAGAATGACAGAATCACTTAGGTTATAAAATGCCTTAAGATAATAAAGCACTGCCAAGTCCACCACTAAACCATGTCCCCTGCCACATCTACACATCTGTTAAATACCTCCAGGGATGGTAGGACAGACTCAACCACTTCTCTGGGTAGCTTGTTCCATTGCTTGACAACTCTTTCTGTGAAGAAATTTTTCCTAATATAAAAGCACTGTATCCTAATATGTGTGTCTAAGTGGTATGGCAATTCACTGACCATTTCCCCTTGGATTATGGGGGCTTCATCCTGCTCCCTGTCCCTGCCTTCCAGTTCAGGGGCCTTGTACCCAGAAAACAGCTGGTCTTACTATTGAACACTGAGGCAAAGAAAGCATTAAGTACCTCAGCCTTTTCATCATCCTTTGTCACTATGATTCCTTCCACAGCCAATAAAGGATGGAGATTCTTCTTAGCCTTCCTTTTGTTTCCAATGTATTTACAGAAACATTTTTTATTGTCTTTTATGGTAGCCAACAGATTAAGTTTTAGTTGGGCCTTGGCCCTTCTGATTTTTTCCCTGCATAACCTCATGATATCCTTCTCCTCCTGAGTTGCCTGTCTCTTCTTTCAAACTTCACAAACTCTCCTATTTTCCTGAATTCCAGCTAAAACTCTGTTCAGATAGGCAGGTCATCTTCCCCACTGGCTCATCGTTTGGTGCATGAGCATGACCTGCTCCTGCATCTTTAACATTTTCTTCCTTCTTTCTTTTCTTTATAAGGCAATAGGTGATATCTAGAATGCTTCTCTGCTACTTAAACTCCTCTCTTTAGGATATTTATATTAAGAATATTAGGAAATACGGCTATATGCTACTTTTGTAGCTCAAAAGTGTTTCATGCTTCTGCCATACTACACTTCCAAGCTACCCACCTGACTTCCTCTGCTACTTCCTTAACTTCTTAAACTTTGTCCTTTCACAATCAATAAATTCAGTTCCAAGATAAACTTATGTTTATCTTTCAGTTTAAATTGAGAAAATTCAAGATTTCATCCAAGGCTGCTTCCTGCAACCAGTTCTTTCCAAATGCTCTCCCCATTTCCCAGAACTAAGGACAGAATGGCAGGCTCTCTATCTGGCTCAGCATGTTGGTAACTGTTCTCTGATACTACCTACAGAATTTTGAAAGTATTGTCCATCAGAGATCAGCTACATAATTCTTCTCTGATCATAAGCCCTTTCTTTTTATTTATAAGTAATCCCTCTAATGCTTACCATCAATACACCATAAATAAGTTCTGTGAATACTCACTGGTTATTCCTCACAATTCCTACACCAATAAGCAAACAAGAAATAAGAAAATAAGGCATAGGGGATTTAATGTCAATAGTTACATAGTTAGCCAATATTTGATTGGAATATAATATAGGTTTCCTTAGATAAATCTATTTTAGTTACTAAACATCCTCATCACTTCTTTGAATTATTGTTTTAAAAGCAATGGGCTTTGAGAATTCAGTTCCAAAACATTTTCCCCAAATTAAACATTCTGAAAACCATCAGTTTGGTATCCATGAAGATTTGAGAAAACCAATTCACAGTCATCTGCCCTTCCCAGATCTTGAATCCCTGTATGAATGTCAGTTGCATCCATCTGATCGACAGAGGTGGATAACACAATGCATCCTTTTAATCTTTTGGAAAGTCTAACTGCTCATTACAATGTGGTTAAGGAAACCAGTATCAATACAATCAATAGCCAGAGCACACGAAAACAGATACCCTGTATGCCACAATCTGTCAGATTGAGGATGGGCTAACAATCCAGCCATTTGAAACACATTTCACCCGTCACAGATTATTTGCTCGTTAAGATGGAATAGGTGTTGAAAGAGCACAATCAAAGTAATGTTTTTATCTGCCCTGGAGATATTCGGACTTCTGCCATTCCACTGAAATCAAGGTTAAATCAACATCTTTAAAAATGATGTTATCATAACAAATGGCAACATAATAGATGGACTCTAAGATATTGTCAGCTTGAAGGGAAGACTTAAGGAGAGAAAGCTTGCACTAGTTTTTCTTGTTTTTCACGAAGTCATGACCATACCATACATTATTCAATTAACAAGATCACCCTCCTACAGTCACTTGAAAATTCCTCTTATCATCTTTGTTCCTTTCTTCTGTATGAATTGAGGTGGATTTTCCCTCCACAGCTTCAATGAACTCTGGCCGCAGCTTCTAAGAGGCTCATTATCTCTTCTATCACATCAGCTTCTGCTTTCAAGGCTTATTGTTTAGTTCTTAGTATAAATGAGAGATTGAAATCCCTTCAAAACACCCAAGGTGCCTTTCCCACTGAGTAAACAGCAAAGCATCATCTCCGCTGTAAGACCCATTTAATCAAAAATATATACTACATGAACACTGGGACACTGAAAACCTTTGGAAGTGCAATTACCCTAATTTCTTCCTTAGATGAAGGAACACTTGACGTGTTATTTAAATGGGCCGTCACTTTGAATCTCCATTATGGATTTGATTTGCTTATGTACAATATGCTTTAGAAAAGTGCATGGTTCTGTCAGGCTTCATGTCCGGCAGGGCTCAGAAGTAATACAATAGCATCAGTTCATACAGGTTACAGAATGGTAACCTCTATGGACTAGGCTGGCCAAATATTACCTTCCTAACAAGTAACTGGCTGTCTGGAGTGAGTAAATCAACCTTACTCTTATGGTCTTTACTTTGGCCAAGTTGCTTATAGAAGCAACTCGCCCAGCTACAAACAATGCAAATATGTGATTATTGCAAAGCAGTCCTCAGGGAGTTTCCCACTCAAACCTCACAGACGTTCAATAGGATTTTGGGGACTAATTCCCTGAAAACTTACCATCTAAATAAGAGTGCCTGTGTGTGTGCATGTACATATATGCATGTGCACATAAATACATATATGTTTGTGTGTCCCTGTGCACACATACACCCCCCATGTACGCAGTGATGTGAGGGCCTGCACACACGAGTGACGTGATACCAGAGTGCTTTGACAGAAGGCATTCACATTACGTTTAAGCGAAACCTCTTCTCTCAATTGCTACTCTCAGTTAGTTCTGTCAAACTAATAATACAGGTCTGTGCAACAAAATGTTACAATATCAGTATTAGCATATAAAATAAAGGTAAGTATAGGTTTCCCGTGTCTTTATTTCTTTTCCATTTTCTCTCTATTGGAGAAACTTGCCAAACCCAAACATTTCTATTTCTTTCTTGTGTGGTAGTTTTGTTTCTGATGAGAAAAAAAAAGTATCTCTGTTTAAGATAAAAGGAGATGTTGCCCCTTTGATTAGTTTTTCTGATTCCTAACAATATACAATAAATATAACTACAGTGGACTATTTAATAGTCCTGTAAGCATTACATGGTCTATAGCTGAAGAGAGGCTAGCTGCCTTAACAAAATCACTTGCTGTAAGAGCAGTTTTCAGGACAGTGATAAATCACAGTGTAATACAATCATGCATTAAGCTCCAACCAAATGTGAGACTGGCACAAATATTAAAGTATAACTGAGCAGAAGTCAAGTATGTACAAGTCATTGACAAACATTGGTGTAAGTGCTCTAGACAAGACATTTAAAAGAAATTTACATAAAAACATAAATTAAATTTATCAAAGTTTGATAAATTTCAAGACAGTAAAAAAGTACAGAAAACATGAAAAAATAAAAAGCCCAGACAGTTCATACAGTACAGTTTTACTACATTTATATTACAGAATGAAGACAGAAAAAGATATAAGGAATTAAGAGCAAAGAAAATTCTGCTGGTTGTGGCCAGTGGAATTTCATTGCCAATGGGAGATGTGCACACACAGATGCACGCACAAGCACAGAAAATAAAGACAAAAACCCAAAAAAATCATTTACTGTAACAAATGACAGACACAGAGGTGAGAAACATTTGGCATGTTGCAGCACATGGAGTCATTCACGATTGGCTAACGATGGTACCTGGCTCGGCTGAAGGTCACTGGGTTGCCTGAGCGGTGTCACGGAGGGAGGAGGCACACCTGATGTGGATGCAGACCGACCTAATCTGCAGCTTGCTTTAGACTCTGGAAAGGAAGAGAGTAGAAACACCAGTGAACGGGAGGTGGGTTACTGTTGCAGTAAACTGAAACACGCCGGATCCAGGATTCCCCTGAAATGGAGAATCCAGGCTTGGTTACTAGTTAAAATCTCAGGCATTTGACTGAATCATAAACAGAAGTTGAGATCAGAAGAAGAGGGATTAAGACAGAACCCATTCCATGTCCTGGCCTCTCTGCTCCAGCATCTCTGAAGCTGAAGTATAGAGCATAAACCAGTAGACAGACAGGAAGAACATAAAAGAAGCATTCTTGTTGCCTCACCCCCAGTGCCTTTTCTACCCCTCTTATAATACAGCAGTGATTAAGGGAGTTACAGTGGCTTCTGGTTTCATGGACATGGCAGCCCAAAGACTGACTGTGCTGGGGGAAAGCATGAAATGCCAGAAAATGAAAGAGGCAGTGTATGAAGTGTTGAGGATACTGTCACACTTGGGGATTTGGAATGACACCAAAAATACTTGGAAATCTGATGTCAGTGGCAGTAAATTGAGAGACATAATGTAGGAAGAATGGAGACAAATCAAAACACCAGTAGTGGCAAAGTCAGTTACCCAGAATGAAGGTGAAAACAGAAGCAGAGGTTACCTTGAGAGAAAACTCCAATTCGGAGAAGAACTGCACAGAAATTACACAGTTATTTAATTTTCCTTCTGCTGTTCTGCATGAAGGCGTTTCTAAGAAGGTTCCCCATTGATTTCCAGTGCAGGTTATTATTGTACATGCTGACATGAGGTGACCATGCAGCTCAGGAGGCCTAGATGACGGGTTTTTATCTAAACCATGCTGACACCCATGTGCTACCCCAGCGTTCAACACCCCACAACTGTCTTTTCCTGAGAAAAGGGTCTGCCTGTGTCTGCCCAAGTAATTTTTTTGTCCCTGCCTTTCCTTTATATGGTTGAGGAAACACCTCTCAACCCATGACTTGGCTCGGATCAATGTGTTTATTCTCCTCACGTTTCATAAACCTTCCTCCCAACCCTGCACCTGTTTTTTCTATTCAGTGGGCAAACACTGAGACCAAGAACATTTGCACTCTCCAGACACACTTTGTACAATAACAGACTCTCACTTTTAGCATTGATAGTATTGCTTTACCATGAATAACAAGTAATTATAATACCATACCCCATTAGAATTTAAAGAATTTTTAATTTTTTAAGTAAGGTTCAAAGAATTCCTCCTATTCAATTTCATGTTTTCAAGAACAGAGGAAGGACCTATGCCTTGTGCAATCCTGGTTTAGCAAATTTGTCTCTGAAGCACATATTTTCTCACATGTCTTTTTCTTATGTCTGTCTGAAATTTCTCCTGCCTCATTTACACTGCTGCCTTGCCTATGTTTGTTCACACTAATATCTCTATTTCCTATATGGATCTCCAGTATCATCAGTAGCCACTGGCTGGGCCATTGTTTGAAAGGAAGAAGACGTCTATCACCAGCACACCCTTAAGGTCACTTGGCACACCTTGGAAACTTAAGGACAGCTGGCACATTACTCCACATACCAGCAACATGCTGAAAGGGGTTCTTCCAATCTCACTGATAATTTTTCATTGTCACCTTAAATGCTTATTTTCCTCAGACATTTCAGAATTCAACAGGGTGTGGAGAAGAGCTATCCACTTATGCCAGAGCACTTAAACCAATGAAAACATCTGTATGGGTGAATATTCATCAACTAAATATTAATAGGTTGGTTACCATCCAGCTGGCTGAGCAGCAAAAATATTTATGCTGTTCGACGAATGCATTATTCAATCCACTCACTCCTAGTCAGTCTGTAAACATCCTACGAGTCAACACAGCAATAGGCACAGAAAGGAGCAGACTGGTCTCGTCTGTAACCTTGCCTTTTGTACATAATCTGTTGGTTTGCTTTTTTTGGACTTGGGCAGTTACTCTGAAGGTTGATTAGATTTGTTTTTGTTCTGATTTCACACTGTCTGGGTGCCAGATTTCTGACCGTTCTTTTCAGTAACATATATTAAAAAAAATGGATCTCATTATTATATCTCATCTCTCATCTCCTGGAATTTTGCTGGGGTTTCAGGGAGGACAAGAATTGGGTCTTTTTTCAGTTGTTTTTCTGTACTGCTAAATAGATATTCTTTTTCTGCTGTGACAAGCAGAATCAGACACCTAGCACATAAAAAACTCCAAGGCACTGTCTGCCTATGCTTCTGAATTATTTTCTTTGCTTTAGGAAAGCAGGGAGAAGTGTCATAATTTCCAATTTGGATCTATGTGCAACAACAAGAGATTACCATTTTCTTGCCAAAGAGACTCCTTTCATCTGGCATCAAAGAAATAAAACCTATCACACACAGATGAAGTATAACTTCCTTTATCTCCCTCTAATATATGTTATAGTATTAAGGAAACTATTGTGATTTCCATGGTGACTCTCACCAAAAGGTGTTTCAGAGGTGGCTTCATCTAGCTTTTATTTTTTTTTTTTAAAGTTCAGAAGTTGGGTAGTCGGAGGAATTTTTTTAATATCAATATTGGCAATATTTTTAGACCAAAGAAATACTATATTCTACTGTAGTTAGTGGTCTGAGTAACATCTTCAGACTGCACACTACTGGGGGGAAAAAAAACCCATACATAAATTGTTGCATAAGTGTTGTAACACAACTGACTGCTCTGTATTCTGCAGCATGTTATTTTTCAGCTATGGGCAGCCGTTTACTGTATTGGGGTTATCTGGGTTTTGATCACTTCTAAGTAATGGTCACTTCAAATAAATTCTTCTGCTTTGGGCTATCTAAAAACTAGCAAGAATTCTTCTAACATACACAAGTCCACCATCCCATCATGGCCTGTATCTTTATCTCTTGGTTTTCACGTCTTCAATGGTCATTTCAGTTTGTCTGCAAGGCCTGAATATTGACACCAATTCTGAGTCTGGAATGAAAATAGGTTTTCCTATTTACTGTTGAGAATCTTAAAGGAAGAACAACTACTGCCAACAAATCTCAGGATGGTTTCTAGTGTTTAATTCATGTTTATGTCTTGTGAATGATATTGAGACAGCTCGGTATTAACATCTTAAATGAGTAGTCTTGAGAAGTCCTCTTTGTGACAATAATTCCTGGTGTGAAGCTGAGTTCTATCAGCAATCCTGATAAGCACATAGGGAAGGTTCTGTAAATATCTGTCCAAAAGGGGACCCATTTGCTCAGGGTCCATGGAAACTCAAGTTAAAATCCATCTAGCTCCATCCTGATAAAGTTAGCATGGCACCCTGTCTCTGCACTGAGTTTCACTGCGGACATGGGTCCTCCCTTTCTAATGAAACCTGCCTGAAAGGGAGCTCCAGGGACTCCACTCCAAACACTGGACCCTCTCTACATCCACAGCCAGGGGCCTCTAACACTGCTGTAAGCAACTCCAGTGCAGACAAGGGATGACAGCCTAGTGCCAAGCCAGGGAGCTCACAGGAACATGTCTAAGTGCTTCTGGGGAGTGGGGCCAGGGGATGTAGGGCATGTGAGCATCCCTTAGAGATGTCCCTTGCAATCATGAAGTTTGAATTCAGAAGATTGTTGGGGGTAGCCAAGAAGCTGCAAAATGTTACATTGTGCACAAAAATGCTCATCAAATTCAGTTGCTATATTTGACTGATGGAACTTTGGTGGTATTATTGTGCACAACTTCAAGTTACGCATCTCTCATGCTGTGACATAATAGGAAAAATGCACTGCTCACCTCTGGGAGCCAGGTGCAGAGGCAGTGGAGTGCTAGTAGAGGATGGTGGGCTGCTGTGCCTCAGTCTCCTATTACGTCACCCACAGTAGCCACAACACTCCCAACGTGCCAGTGGCTGGGACCACAGGAACCTCACGTGAGGCAACCCCACACGTGTAGTCAGTGCAGTGGGACGAGCTTTACTGCACTCTCAGGTTTAAACTGAGTCCCAGCAGCGCCAGTAGGATTACACATGGACATAAGCAAGTGGACACATCCAAAGGGCAGCATTAAGGATGAGAATTTTAGGAGAGACTCTCCAATGCAGAAATACAGGCTTTCCAGTCACAGATAGGATTGCCTTAAAGTTGTGTTCTTAATCATGTATTTAAGCACTCACATAAATGGCCTGTTTTCCAAAAGTGCAAGTACTGTCATCATTACTAAAGATGTAGAGGCTTGGCTGGCTTCATTTGAGACAGGGGGTGTTGTAGGATTTTCCTCAACAAAGCACAGTGCTGAAATGCGACAAGATTTATGGAAATATTTTCAATAATTTTAATACCAATGTGCTATGGTTTTCTATATTCTCCAGAAGTACAACAACTCTGCATGATTTTTATTTTTGGATCTTAATGGGAAGAGTTCATTTTCATCCAAGGAAGCCTTCATTCTGCCTATCCTAATCTTAATTCAAAAAAAATACTCTGGCTGTCACTTACATTGGAGAAGCTTCTTATCCTGTCACAGTCTCTTCTTTGCACATGAAAAGAGAAATATTGCTTATTTGCTACAGCTGCCAAGAAATGCGTTTTGAATTAAACAAGGCGATGTGACAGGCTGAGAGCAATCACATGCTAAAAAAAGGAAAAAAAAAAAAGAAGAAAAAGAAAACATGCATACTGGAAAAATGAATCACAATATTATCTTCATACTGGCCCAGCCACGTTGGTTTTCTAAAAAGAGATGAGTAAGCTGAAACATTATTTGAAATTAAGAAACATTATGGTGGAATAAACTACATAGTATCCTGTTACTTTAAAAAAGAAAAAGTATTCAGGATTTCACCTGCAGAAGCCAATTAGTGCTGAAATAGCACAGCAGCACATCAAACTGAAATGTTTTCACAAAGGGAGCACTGAACCTGTGGACCTCAGTGTTACCGGATATATCCATAGGTCAAAAGCTTAGCAAGTCTCAAAACCAAGTCACGTAATGAGTAAAACTATGCCTGAAAGGAACCTTCTATATAAGTTTTGAGGATACTTTGCCCAGAGGGAAAAGCTATTAGCGGAATATACTTTGTATCCTGAGTATGAGTGTTTATTTTCTTTGTAAAGTTTTTGTTGTAGGATTTGGCTGTGTTTGTTTGGTATTTCCTGTCTGCTTTGTAACACAAGTAAGTGTTGGGCATTTTTGTTCAGGTTTTTTATGTGTGTTTTTGTCACATCTAGATAACAGTTTTACTCCAGTCAGGATCCATGTGATCCCACAGCCTGGAGGTCACACACCTGGATTGTGGGCATTGGCTAGATGCCCTCAGTGTACAGCTCCCAGTACTACTCCTTTTATTTTAGGTGACAGGCACTGCTTGGGAAGAGTTGTGTGCAGAGAACACGAGTGACCATCGCAGGCAAGGTCTGGACCTCACCAAGCAGGAGCACAGTGATACTCTGATATTGCAGGTAAGGAGAAAATTTAGGGTTGGTGGGAGCACTCAGTCATCTCTGCATGAAGCAGACCTAGCAGGAATGAACTGGTATTTTGCTGCTACTCCCTTCCTGTACCTATGGATGCAACTTGCACCTTGGGCTTCCCAGGCATTGCTCCACTCCCAAAGAGCTGAACTTAAATATTCATTACTTTTGCAAATCCAAAATGATAGCCAGTAATTCCAATGAAGGGTGGGCATTTACTCCCTTCCTGATTATCTACAGTGCTTTCAGGTGGGATACTAATGGCTGGCTGAGTGACAAGCTGGTGGTGCTTCAAAAACAGGACACAACAGAGTATCTGAGGTTTAAAAGGCAAGGCAGTGCCTGTCTCCAGCAGCAGGTGGCAATGTAAAATGCTTCATGGTTGCAGTCAGGAAAAAAGCAGTAATGTTCCAGAAAATACTCTTCAATTCTCCTGGGGTGAAACTGTACAACTTTCTGGTTTACAGATTCCATTTGGCTGTTCACTACAATTGCACTGAGTTTCCTAAATGTCAGCATGCCCCCAAATCACACTGCTTTCCATGAGAAATTATAGGATGCCAAGAAACAGAAAGTGGCCTTGACAAATGATGCCACAGTGCAATCAGGCACAATGATACCTGTGTGCAGCTGACAGTCTTGAACTCTTTGAACAAAATGGACAGAAAGTTCAAGATTCTGTTTGGAGAGGGCTCATTCTCCCTCTTAACTTACTAGCAGTTTCAGAGATGGGGAGAACCTACAAAAAATCAGTACTGCCACTCAGGGATTTGTTCAGGCCACCCCAATTCCCAGTTCATCTGTGCCTCAGCAAAGCTGCCTGATGAGCACACTTGAGAAGTCCTTTCACACTTTCTGCTTTACAGTGGAGTAATTCAACCCCATTTTCTTTAATTTATTCCAACACTGCCCCAATAAATGCCTGTACCAGTGTGAACTAGGAGGCAGGCAGCAAACTGTGGTATTTCAAGGACATGTCTGCACAAAAAAAAAAAAAAAAAAGTAGCCTTTTTTTCTGTTATCTATGATGTTGGGAAGAGAGCAACAGCAGTGACGACTGTACTGGGGCCTACCTTGATTTTTTGCGGTCCTGTGGTAAATCTAAGCTCTAATTCCTAGCGCAGAATTACTTTGTCTCTTTGACTCCAAAATGCATTTGTATTCATACAGATGTATTAAATCTCTCTTCTTGTATTCTGTTACAGTTCTAATTTAATTGCAAAGAATGAACTGTTACAGCTCATGTACAAGTTCACTGAGGAGAACTGTGTACACTTTGAATGCAATGCCCCACCGATTAAAGGAAAAACATGTTGCTCAGGCAACAGCGAGAGACACAGGGGAAAAATATTCAGGGCAGATGAGAGGCAATATTCATCAAATGAAATAGCATAAAACTGCAGGGAAACAAAAGTCATAATCAGCTTTCAGATTTTAATCATAAAAAGGAGTCAAAATTCAGCCAAGAAAATATATTTTTTTCTCTGACAGTCCCAGCAATGTAAGACAAAGTCACAGTCAACTAAATCAAGGCATGATTCAACAACTATTATAGTTTTCTGATGCCAAATGAAGGCTGAGGCCAACATGTTTTGTCTGTTTTTGGAGATCAACCAACTCTTTGAAATAAAACTGCTGCAGAAAGGTTGGACAGCAGTATAATATTTTGCTAAGGACTTACTCTTTAATTTTAACTTCTTTACTACTCTGCTCCATACTGTCATCTCGTAGAACTGAGAAGGTTGTTATACACCTTTGGTCTAATTATCGGATGTCCCAATACTTTGATGTGGTAGCTTTTAAACCCACCCTTCTACCTGCATTAGCACAGACTCTCTAATACACTGGGAACAGAATTTTTACCAAAAGCTATGAGCTAATCTGGAAAATTCCTACCTACCAGAAGTCTTTTTGAGAACAGACAAGTAAGAAAATGGCAGTAATACCCAAATAACCTGTGCTAGAGTCATAAGATTAGCAGAAAAGTCACATTTGCTGCCCCAGGAAGGATTATCTGCAGGGTCTGTAGCAAGAAAAGCTGGACTACATGATTGCTGCAAATGATATGTCACATCAGCAAAGACTATTCAAGTTATACACTGAGTTTCAGGTGTCATTTTCAACGATTCAGAGACAATGTGAGTCCCATTATCACGCAGGGAAGTGATGCTCTGGGTGAGACGTGAGCATCTCTGCTGGCTCAGCAGTTTAAAGACTCATCTCTGCCACTCACTGCCCAGCAGATCCCTCTTGCAGGAATGATTTCTTCTTTGAGTAGCTCATTCATGCTCTTATGCTTACTGAACATTGACCATGAGGCTTCAGTACTATATATGCCAACTGTTTTTAAAGTGGATATTTTTCCCAATCCAACTAATAAGCAGTGAAGTTACTCTTTTATGAGAGCTGTCAAATCTCAAAAGTAACAATGTGGTACTCATGCAAGAGCCATAGATATCTGTTTATAGATGTCCATTCACGCATCAGTTCTGTTTGTCTTGTCAATTTATAAACAAGGCTGCATCATAATGCCATGGTTTATGGCAATTTACTATTTAATATATATAAAATTTTAATTAATAAAATGGATAGGTGTGAATTTGAGACTTCTGAAACCCATAGTCACTTTTCTAGAAATTTCTTGTACCAGCATAAGTCAAAAGTTGCCTGTGTCCAGTCACTGTGCCCATCAGTAAAACAGCCTTGCTTCTGCATAGTGTATTTTTGTTACTCTCTGTGATACCTGAATTTACAAACTTCTTTCTGAGGTGCCATCCTGGAGTGACTGTGTCATAGTGTCCCCTTTCAATGTCACGTGGAATTCCTTACTTCTTTCAAAATAGATGAACTGCATGTTTACGTGCTTGTATTACCTGCCACCATCCCAATCTGTTCCAGCACAGAGCACAGGCAGACAGCCAAGGCTCACTAGTACAGCAGTCAATGGGCAGGGCAGATCCTAGAAGATAGTTGGAAGTCTAAAGAATCTGGATACTTATCTACATCTGTGTATCTTTAGAGATCCTCCATCTCACAGGGAGATTCATTTGATCTTCCTGGCTCTGCTATGTGACTTACCTGAGCTGTTGCTTCCAGCCAACATGGTTGGGCTGACAGAGGATCTCCCCAGCCTGCTGGATACCACAGGCGGGCCCGGCGTTCCATCCCATTCCTGAGCTTTCCCTGGCTCCCTAGAGGAAGTTGTCCCATGATATCCTCTCTCTTTGTTTTCCAGCTTTGGTAGTGGTTCAGTGCTGTGACTTCTGATCTTCAGCTCATCTAGTGGTTCTATGAAATACACAAGTGAACATTTTGTTACAGAGTGTCTGCTAATCATCCACATCACGTAACAGTCTTTTGCACAATACTCCATATATACCAATCATAAATCTTATAAGAACAATTTATAGCATTATTTTACCATCTAGGCCAAAACCCAGTAGTTTACGTAGGTTTCAATACAGTTTTTAATTATTAAAACCATGCACCATGCAGCAGATGGATAAAATGTAACTTTTCTGTTGCAACTTTTATATGCCATGAAAATAATTTTGAAAATAGTACCCTACCAAAATGTGGTTTATTAAAAATTTATAGAAATACTTGGATTCTTTTCAGCTGTCATTTGTTTGGGAACAAGTTCTTCTTCAGGCACTTTCTAAGGAAGCTCTCTCCTAAGGCAATACTGTGCAAGCTACATATCTGTATTCCTTGGAAGCTCTAACAAAAGCACACAACCCACAAAACAAAAGACCAAAAATCCATTTTGGGTGTGCCCAGCTCCATAACCTAGGAAATGAAATTTCACTTGGTCGGAAAAGCCTTGGAGTCAGAAAATTACTTTCTGCTTGCAACTCCATGAGTTAATGTAAAAAGGAGAAATTCAAAACACAACAGAATGATTTTTCCAATGAAGCAGTGATGTCTGCTTTCTTCATGGTTGGTGATTTTCTGTTCTCTTCTCAAGACCCTAATTTCTTTTCTTGCACATTGAGCAATACAGGAGGATCAGTTCATTCCTGTTCTTTAACTTCTGTAGCTGTTAAAGATTCACATGGAAAACTAGATACAGAAGAAACATTAGATTGCTCTTTACTTGTAAGAGCTAAGTACTGTGCTAGTCAGTTATTCAAAGTTTGCCATTTACCTCTTTTTGAAAAAAAAAACAAACCCCTGAGATTTGAATTTTATACTTTGTATTTAAACCCACAGACATCCTTACATGATACTCTCATGTAAGGATGCAAGTTCTAGTCACACCGGTTTATTAATCAACCCCCTGATGTACCTTTAATTTCTGTATGTATCTAATTTCTGTATGTATCTACAGGCTTGGGATCCATATTTGATAGAGACAACAATCTTCCCTTGAGCCCTATCTCAAAAATGTTTGTTGCTACAAGGGACATGAGAAGATTTGAGAGAGCCAAGCATGGAGAAAATGCCAGAAGCAACTCACAGGCAGGAGATGCCAACAGCTCCCCAGGGGACCTGTGCCAAATGGAAGTGGCCTGGCTGCACAGGACTGTCAGTTGGAGCAGCCACTTCCTCTCCCGGATATCCCCCTGGCCAGGAACTAGGACTATCCAAGAGGAATTTCCACTCAGATGATACAGTCCAGAAAAAGAACCACATTCAAACCGCTTTGATTTGCCAGTGGCTCAAAACCCCCCACACTGCTGCCCATGCCACAGCAAACAGTGAAAGATGCACTACCGGATATCTGTAGTAGGTAGAGACCCCACTTGTGCCCAACGGGGACAAAATCTCACGTTGTTTTGGGTTCTCTGACATTCCAGTCTGCAGATGAACTTAATGAGTAACAACACAGTCAGCCTGGAGTTTCCTCAATGAACGTGAATGACTATCGGTTAACAGTAAAAATTAATGTTAAGGATATCTTACCACAACCTTCAAGTAGTAACACTTCATGAGAAAATGATCAAACAACCCCAGTTTAGGAATCATAAATAAAATTCAGAGACACTTCATGTGACAAAGACCTTCAAAAATCAAACCTCTTCCATGAACTTCTAGGTCACTTACCTACTTTAATGTATGCAAAAAGACACTGCAATGAAAATCCAAACTGTTTGTTTTTCCTAGTTGGTAACCCCAGCAGGGTACAAGGTTGAATAACAGTCTGTATCAATATAACATGACATCTGCCTTTCAGGGACCTTTGCTACAAGATGTCTGTAACACAGTTCTGCCTGTGACTGCATAGAGAAACTTTCTAATACAAAGAGCTGTGCAAAGAGATGGAGAGCCCAAATTATTACTAGATTTGAACTGTTTCAGTTATCAACAAAAAGGCTCTTATATTTTTTTCTGAGCATTGAGCTATCAAAAATAGCAATGTACTTTTTCATGTAACAGAGACATACAGTTATATCTGATTTTTTTCTTTATACCAAAAACATTCACTTTTTTAAGCTACTACTTGTCTGGGAAAGGAAGGCTATGAACAAAGTTACAAAATTCTTTGGATATGCACACAAATCTCTTTTCCACACCAATACAGGATGCTGTCTAGATTGCAGCTTATTCTTTCCAGCAAAACAAAGAGAAAGACAAAAGACAAGAATATGTTTTTTAAAAGTCAGAATTGGGCCCTGCAAATACCCTAACAACTTAGTGCATCATTCAATAGAGTTAATTTACTGTGTAATTCAGCTGCTCCTGGAAATGCTGTGATTACATTAGTGTAAACCTTCTCTGTGTGTGTCCCACTGACACTACTTGAACACCACCCTTTGAAATGTCACCCACTCATGTAGTCAGCCCTTATTACAGTGGAAATGCTCTGGCTGAGTGCAGAGCTAAGGATTTATCCACTTCAGCTTATTTAACAGAGACGCATTTGTACTTGTTGCCTGATAAAAATGATTTGTGCATTCTTAGTTTTATTATCAGCTGAATCAAAGCACAGCATTTCTCTGCAACCAGCTGGAAACTATGGAAATATTTAGACTAAATAAAGATTTGGTTTATGGTCTTGTTCTTCATAAGGTGTAGAAAATCAGTTTTCAGCTGGCTGTCTAGACTTTGTAAATTTACATTCCACTATCCTTTCTTGGGGATTTTCAGTTCACAGTTTATCTGAAAACTAATATTTCCTAAAAATGAAAAGCAGATTGAATCAGTTTATAATGTTGTGTAACCCATCACAGAGCCTGAATCATTATTATTTGGTGATCACTATCAGTAACATTGATACACAGACAGTAAAACAACATGTCAATGTTTTATATAGTTTTCTGTAATATTTCTTTCCTGCTCACTAGTGAACACATAAAAAAAATGAAAAAAAATTATTACCTCACTTTTACTCAAATATTTTGGGGACGATTTTGTAATAATTTCAGCTTCCTTAATAAATGTCAATGGGAATCATATTCAAATTCAACTAAAAAAAAATAAATCACTTTGCTAGTTCTTTCTTGACTGAAAGAGCACCTCAATTCTGATGCGCCCAGGACAGCTCCAGAAATGCAGAGAGCTCCCCTCCCAGGTCTCAGCCCGTTACTGATGCATTTGCTGACTGTCCCATCCATCACTTGGATGATTTTATACTGTCAGTAACTACCTGCTGCAAATGTACCTCCATGGAGCAAGCTCAGTGGCACAAATTATGGTATCTCATAGCAGCATATTCACTACTCCACCTTTTTGCTCCTACAGCCTGACACAAGACATGGACAGAAGGCAGAGCACGAGTGTAGCTGATGGCTATAGTTACCTACAGGGTGGTGACCTTATCATGGACTGAAAAACAAACCAGTATAGTTTCAGCGCAGTGACCTTTTATAACAGCTACAGCAGGATTTAAATGGCCAATTTATTCACATTGATCCATACTGAAAACACAAACTCTTACCAGTCAGATGTATACATGTACACATAGACACAGTGCTGAAAGGTAACAGTAGCTGCTGCACAGCTCTTTTCTCATTTTTCATTTCAGAAGCACAGAAACACAGATGGGATCTAGGTTACCTAGTGCTGTTATAAGCCTTAATTTGGAGTTAGGAACTATCAAAGCTCAGTATTATGCTGGGAGCTCACTGAATCATATGATGGCCACCGGCAAATCTTTTCACAGTCAAGTGCTATATTTTGAAAGCTGAGATTATTATGGAAAGCATCTTTATTGTTCAATACTTCTTCCACCAAAATGGTACATAAAAATGTAAATTTCAAGAAATAATTCACTTCTTTAAATATTTATGGACACAGTTGGTTAAACTACCATAAAGGCATTCAAATGTTTCAAGCACTTCCAGCTGTCATTGTATTTCATTATTCAAGGATATGCTTTTTTCTTATTTATTTCACCTGAATCTCAGGCTTTTCCATTTAAAGAATAAGATGGTGGTTAAAATCTCCAATGGAGTACATATTTTACAAATAATTGGCATGTAAAATTTCCTCTCTATGACATGTCCTCGAATTGCTGCATACTAGGCAAGGCTGGCAAGTGAGCTGTGGTACCAGAAAACTTGGAAATGCTGAAGAAAGTGAGAAACAAACTGAGCCAGTTGTAACTTGGACCAAAGAAAACTGTAATTACAACTACAGAAAACATCTTACCTAAAAAGCTATCATTCAAATGAGTGTAAATCTGTGGCCAGTCTGCCACTGATCTTAAACACAAATTAATTTCAGGTCCAGGTGGCTTCTTAGTGCAATGCTAAGTGATAAATTGCAGAACCTTTATCACTGCTTGGGGTTTTGGAGGAAGAAAGAAAAGCAATTGTCTTAAGGAACTTAAATTGAGGGTTGCTCTCTGCCATCTCTCTCAGCTGTGAGCTGAAATGTATAAGGTAATCCATACATTAATAATTTATTCCTTTTTTTTCCTGTGTGTTTGTTACAAACCTAAATAAATAATACATCACTCTAAGCAGAACTTGCATATTGGGGGAATTAAACAGTACTACTCACAGCATATACATACAGGTGTAAAGCAAAGTAAGTCATTTTGGGTAGAGTTTAGATGTGAGTCAGAACTCCTGATCTCCTCCAGCCTCGACATGTCAGACCTCACCTCATCCAGTTACAATGAACCTGGCTGAAGGAGCAGGAGCCAGAGAATCCCTAAGGGCACACGTGGCCATCAGGAGGGGTGGAGATGCAGGATTAGACTGCAGCCAGCATGTGTGATCATCAGAGCTCCCTGAGTCATGTCCCAGGCTGCAGCTCCTACCCTTGTACCTGGGGCAGGGCTGCCGAGCTGTGAGCTGTGTCTAACCCGGGGTCCTGACCAGGGGAATGGCTGGGCACAG